GTGTTTAATGTCAGTATAGTGTCCGATACGGCAATGTTTACCATCAAAAATTTGGGTCGACTTATTTTCATAGAGTTGCGTATTGTTTGCCATATAATTAAAATACATATAATATTGGAAACAGAACCTAATAATTGGGCACAGAATACACAATAAAGTCCAATCATTTGCTTGTGATCAAGGTACATACAGGAGTTTGCCCATGTTAAAGTAGTAATATTACAATAATGATCTTCCATACCTCCACAGTATAATATTTAAAAGGTAATTTGTTGCTATAAATTGCTATTCACTTTTGTTACCGCATAATATTATATTTGTGGCAAGTAATCAAGGTGGTTGGCACGGATGTCACATATACTGTAGTATATTATCTAAACAGTTTAACATCCATTGTATGATAAATTGATAGGTTATTACAAATGCCCTGTTAGGTATGTCATCGGAGTTTATGAAATACTACATTAATATACGTAGATTACGGTAATACCGTGTTGACGATTAGTACAGTATCCAAAATGGTAATACTTGCCATTAAGAATTTTGATCGACTTATTGTTTAAGTTCTACATTGATTGCAATATAATCAACATGTAGATAATATTTGAGCAAAAACTTAATATTTAGGCTAAAAATACACAATATAATATATATCTGATTATGGTGCAGTAGCATTTTGATGATCATAAAAACAAAATATTAACAATTTCAAATTTTTAATAAACACACATACTTTTTGTACAGTATTATAAACCTTTATTAAATATAAACGTGTTTATTAGCAGACAAATAAGAAATAAAATAATTATTAGTTCCTACTTGTATTATTATATTCTTTAATAGTATAACTAAAACAAATGGATTTTGTTTTATTAATTATTAACAATAAATTTATAATATTAAACACATTATATAGATATTTTAATTTCAATTTATATTGTATTATCCAATAAATTTATAAATTACTTTTAATATGTTTAAACAATAATCCTATTTCACTATTGTTTACAATTAAATTACATTTTAAATATCAATTAAAGTAAAATCTACTGATTAGCTATAAATAACAATGAAGTTTTGTCAACAAGTTTATTGCCTTTTGTTTGAATTGTTAGCTTTAGTGTTGTGTAAATTTGACGACTAAACGTGATAAGCTATAAATAATTGCTTGAAATAATTCACAATGAAATAAATATCTAACAGCTTAACCTTTATTCTGCATGGTTAAATAATTACGTTGCGTGCACAGTGGGATCATATGATCCCATAATATTAATCTACGTTATGTGCACCGTGGGATCATATGATCCCATAATATTTATCTACGTTACGTGCACAGTAGGATAATTATATCCAGTAAAATAGCGTACACAGTGCCTTGTGTATGTTGCAAATATAGATGTATTTGGCGCATGGGTAATAAAGCAAACATTTATATGTACGTTATAATTGAAATCATTTTAATTGTCAAACATAAACATTATTTTGTCATTTAATTTTAAAAGTATTTTATTATGTGTTTTTACAATTTTTATCAGCATTTCTGGTACACAAATAACACCATCACATAGTAGTCGACACAACCGGAGCACTGAGTCCGAGACCGCTGGCGTTGGTAGTGCTAGGCGTCGATGTCAGGACTTTTGAAATCAATGTTTAATTAATATACAATAGTACTAGATTAATAGAGAGAAATGATATTTAATTAATATACAATAGTACTAGATTAATAGAGAGAAATGATATTTAATTAATATACAATAGTACTAGATTAATAGAGAGAAATGATATTCAATTAATATACAATAGTATGGATTAATAGAGAAAGAGTTATAGCGCCGCTAAATAGGACACAACTACACGGCCACAGCTATATTGTCACTCAATAGGTCACTAACACATGGCTACAGCTATAGCGTCAATCGATAGAGCACTAACACTTGGCTACAGCGATACCGCCAATTGATAAGACACAAACACACGGCCATAGCGATAACACAAACATATAGCCACATTTATGGTAACTATAGTGACGTGACGAGACTATAGTGACTACTCATGCGCTATAGCTGCACTCAATAGTACACGAACACACAGCCATAGCTATCGCGACACTCAATAGTACACTAAAACATGGCCACTACTATAGTTTCACTCATTAGGACACAACCACTACAGCTATTGCTGTGACTGGACCCCACAATGCACACAACGTACACAATAAAAATATATACCCAAATAGACATGCGCGTAATACATCTATATTTCTTGTTTAGGTATTACTGTGCACTACAGCTATTGGGATCGAATGGACCCCACGATGCACACAACGTACACAATAAAAATATATACCCAAATAGACATGCGCGTAATACATCTATATTTTTTGTTTAGCTATTACTGTGCACTACAGCTATTGGGATCCAATGGACCCCACGGTGCACGAAACGTTCATAAATTGATTAGTGCTGTTTATGCTAGTAACTTAAACTCACATATCGTGCACCATGGGGTAATTTTGAACTAAATGATGTTTTAATCATACTTACAATTAACTAATCTTTATACAAGTTTACAAATATTTAAAGATGATTATTTGTGAGGCATTCCTGAAATTTTTTGTGGCTGGTGCTTGTCATTAATTTTTAAATGATTTTTGAACACGCCCTGGGATCATATGATCCCACGGTGCAGAATAAGGGTTAAGATAATTGAACAGAGTTGCAATCTAAAATTTATTTATACTTTATAAGTTTTTAATTAATTTTCATTAAATAAATAAATTTTATATAATATTGAAATTAATAATATATATTAAATTAGAATATTTTAAGTGGTACCAAACAATACACAGAACAAATGCAAAGTTCATTAACACGAAACTGAGCAAGGTAAATAAAAATGAAATGATAAATAAATGCAAGTGCAGAATATCAAGTGTTAATTCAATTGATATGAAATATGTGCGAAATGAGGCCCTCATTAGATGGGGTACGAAGTCGTCGACCGGAAGGATATTTGTGCCAATAATTCCTCAATTGTTGCCTAAATCCAGAGCTCATCCAAAAGAAAACGACTGAATTCAATGAATTACACGTTCGGAAAGTGACGTAAAAATAATAATAATCAGGTGTTAGACCGCACGGCGACTGAGCCCTAACCGATAGGTCTATGTTATAGCCATTGATCGCCAGATAATAGCATAGATTTTTCATCACAAACACAAACAATTGTGAGAGCATTAGTTTATGTGTTGAGCTGTGTTTAAATAAGTTTAGTTTACAAACATTTGATGTCGACCTCTGGCCAGAAACCTCATTATCGGTCGAGAGCTCGCGTATGATTTGTGTTGTAAACCACGTGACCAAAAGTGTGGGCCCAAGAAAATTGCCGCAAATGCCNGATGTCTTCGTTGGTCTCCATTGACTCCATTGGCGGCACTTTCTTCAGCTCCGACTCAAACCAAACGCCGGCCTCAAGTGCTAAGTTGTCGACGCCTTTGAGCAACACTTTTCCCAAATCAGTCTCGGGTTTTAATGCTTTCACTTTTGTGTCCAACTCTTTGGCGATTGCAATGGCTTTAGTCAACCCATTTCTGAGCGCCTCTTTCCCTGTCTTCGCCAAAGTGTCGATCGCTTTCTTCGTCTCGTCTAAAATGTCTGACACTTCCTTCAAGAGGTGCTCTTTTATCGGGTCGTCGTTTGACTCTCTTATTGTCATCGCTTCCGATGCTATCATTTATATAATTTATCATTAATTTTTGTTATAAATGATTAAAATATATGAGACATACCGTAGAGAGCAGTGAAGAAAAGGACACCAAATACTAAATATTTCATTTTTACTAATTTTCTAAAACAAATCAATTGTTTCAATAAAATTATACTTTAATTAACTTTGAGTTTGTTCTCAAATTCTTGTGTGAATTCTGTGTTAAGAATACAACCCTTTTATACCAATAGAGACTTTAAATACTCAATGCTTTCATTTATTTGAATTATCGATGAATTCAAAGTCTAATGAGTTCTCATATGCTTTTTATAACAATATAATCCATTTAATCGTCTGAAGCAAAGTCTAAACAATGTATATTTAATCTTCAGATCTTTTGTACCTGTGTTACTGATAATCATTACATAATTGAAACAACTTATCTTAAATGTAAAACGTGTTAAAATGAAAATTGGATTAGGATTCGATACATTAAACTTTAACCTCAAAACAGACTTTGGATTTACAAAAGTTGTGAATTAATTTATTATTAGAAAATTTCATTTTTTCGCTTTGTTCTGCAATTTATTGGTTCATTATTTGATATTTAATAATGTAATGTACAATAATATTCAAACAAATAATTAAATAATTATTTAACTATCATTTTGGCATGAGTCAATACATTTTATAATGGTAAAGTTAATATTTTTAAGATATACATTTTAAAAAATATTAATTATAATTGGTATTAAAATGTAAGCCTAAATAAGTAAGAATAATGCCATGATCGTTAACAATATAAACAATATGACAATAATATATGATTAAATGATGATCAATTATTACCTCGATTTATGTGAAACATGGACTCAAAGAGACGCCCTTTAGTTAAATTACCAAAGGGTCGATCGGATGGATATTTCTGCCAATAATTCCTCAATTGTTGCCTGAATTCAGAGCTCATCCAAAAGAAAATGATTGAATTCAATGAATTACACGTTCGGAAAGTTAAGTATAATTGAGAGTAACCGGGGGTTAGACCACAGGGCGAGTGCACCAAAACTAATAGATATAGATTACAGCCATTTATCGCTAAATAATAGCCAATATTTTTTATTATAAATACAAACAATAGAGAAATCATACGTCTAATAGCCTTAATCGTAATTAGATTATAGCCATTTGATTGCAGCCTTTCAACAGATTTGCGATATCCGACTGTTAGCTCGTAAATGATTTGTGTCGTATACCACGTGACCAAAAGTGCAGGTCCGATAAAATTACTACAAATGCCATATATGTGGACAGTTGTGCTATAAGTCTTACTATCAACAAAATTAACGAGAAAAGAGACGTTACTTTTAACGCATAGAACTGTAGTATTTTTCCAATAAAAGTAGTCAATATCGTTGGTCAGTGCAAACGGCGTCGACATTATAATACTAACCGTCCAAATGACCAAAATATAATATTTTGTTGATTGTTTGTCCAAAGGATTATTAAAGACTTTGGTTATGGCATAGTATCTGTCGCAAGTAATCAGGCTAATTGTCAGTGATGTAACATACAATGTAAGATTATCCAAATAGTTGTGCACCGATTGTATGATTACAGCTGCAGCTGTAGGCTTGCCGTCGATGTCAATGTAGTATTTAATGAGTATATATCGCGGTATTATTGTGTTGATTGTGAGTATAGTGTCCGATACGGCAATGTTTACCATCAAGAATTTTGGTCGACTTATTTTCATTGAGTTTCTCATTGTTTGCCAAACAATTAAAATGCATATAATATTAGACATAGAACCTAATATTTGGGCACCAAATACACAATACAGTGCAATCATGTCATTGTGATTAAGGTATAAAGTAGAACTGTCCATAATGATAAAATATTTGCAGTTTCAAATGTATTTGCAGTTTGTGTTTAAAAGTAATTTCTTGTCTAATTATAAAATAACTTTATTTATTAACAACTAATAGTTGTTAACTATAAATGAGGAAATTGTTATTCAAATCTTGTATTTATAAACAAAATATATTTCTTGATATCAACAATAAGTTTATGTAATCAATAATTTTATGTCATTGTTTTCGAATTGGTTATACAAATATTATTTGAATTAGTATACAAATTATGCTAACTGTCAAAATAGTAGGTTAACTAATAAAATGCTATTTATAAGCCAATATGAATTTTTATAAACTTGATTGAGGTAAATATTTAATTAAAAATAACATAAAGTTAAAATATATAATGTAATTTAAATTAAATTTTAAATATTACAAGATTTTATGGTAAATTATATAAAAATAAATAATATAATAATAAAACACTAATAATAGAAACACTTCCTACGTAATAACTTATTATTAATAAGTCAATAAACAAGATAACAATAAGGATTTTATGTACGTTCGTCTAATAATTGCATTAAAAATATTAAATAATATTTATTTAATGAAATCAAAAATTAGAAAAAGCTCATATTTAATGAGCAGTTATTATAGCGTAAATTTCACAATGACAATTAGGACAGTTATCAATTATATTGTAAATATCTCAACAGTAAATCTAATAAGACATTGAAATCACAATTGTTTAAAAATAATATTTTATTGTAAAAGTTATATAAATGTTTTATTTAAGAATTTATAATCATTTTATGAGTTGTACAAAAAATATATTTATATGATAAAAATATGTGGTCCAAAACAGTTACATTGGGGGCACTTTCTTAAGCTCATCCTTCAGCGCCTGCTCTCCCTCTTTAGCCAAGCGTTGAATTCCCCCCAAAAGTGCTTTTCCGATATCAGTCGACGGGTGAAGACCTGACAACTCGTTCTCCACGTCTTCAACCAATTTGA